CTGTCTACTACTTCCTTTTTGATGGTCTATGCTGTGTGTTGTTATGTTTTTGTTGATTTTATAAACGACAGTGGGGATGGGGTGGGGGGGATTATTTATATTTTTATTACCTGCTTTTTGTTATTCCTTTCTGTAATTCCTTTCATATTCTTATACTATGTGAATTGAATAAATATATATTAAACACTAAAAGAACAAATTTGTGCAGAAGAAAATACTTTTATCCATTTTTTTAATTTTATTTTGTTTAACTTAGAAAACCAATTCTTACAGTGAGAACTGTATATATGTTAGGACAGGGAAACAATCTTCCACTGATGATTTCTACTGTTTACTGCATGTTTATCTGATCTTGGAATCATTCAAATTACTCACAGAGGAGTCAGAGATTTTACTCCAGTAGGAGCAGCGATACTTTGCAGAAATATTACTCAAGTAAAAGTTAGTAGTACGGCTCAGTAAACCGACTCCTGGAAGCAGATTATTTTCAAATTCTTACTGAAGTAAATGTAACTAATGACTGCCCTCTTCTGCCTGCATGTTTATGTTTTCTTGCCTTAATAAACAGTGATTTAAGCTTGAAGCTTGATGCTTTAATATTTTTTGTTGATGTTTAAATGTTTTATGCTTGATGTGTCTGTAAGGATTGCGCGGCTACAGTTTGGGTGTGCTTCAATACAATAAAGGAATTATATTCAGAGGGTCTCTATATTTTTTGGGTTCGGTGTCTTATTACAACTTATGATGTTTAGACATTTTGCACATGTTTGGCAAAGTTAACAAGAGCAGACGCTGCATATGATCAGATTTAATATTTTATTCATCAGTTTCTCTGAAATGCTTTTGGTTGTTCACTTCAGTCAAAAATGTAGGAATTCTGTTGTAGAACTTATTTAGTCAGGATAAAAGAAGATATAGTTTTAGGTTCTAAATAAAAAATGCCTTAACTGAGGAAAATTTGATGTGATAGACTTTTTGTTTCTGCATTGTTAAATATTTTATCATTTGATTTAAAATAGCAGGATGGAGGAACGGTTTATAGAAATATCTACTGGAAACTCTTCTAAAATTGAGCTACAGATCTGGAGACAGTTTTTAATTTCACTCACTTGATCTTTGACTCTCCTGCAGTGTTTCATATGGGGGGTCTTTGCACTCTGCAGAGGTAGACGACATATTTGTGTAATTCATTTTATTGTACCACAATGGGGAAATTCACTCAAGAACAAGAAGACCGAGAACGGACAAAGTCCCCGGATGTTGTTTTGGCCCCTCCCTCTTTACCCAGCATGCATCAGAGCAGACTTGTCCGTTCTCCAGACTGACAGCTGTCCCAGCATGCACTGCGGCAGCAGCAGCTTCCAGGTTAGCGCTCTTTTAATCAAGTTGAAAGGTCTCTTTTCTGTTGCTGTTGTTCAATAAAAGTAAGTTTTAAGATCATTTGAGGCTAGAATATTATATTTTAAGCTTCACTATATGGAACATTTACTCCTTTCATGCGTAATAATAATAATAATAAAAAAAAAAAAAAACAAAGTTAAGAGGACGGTGGCAACCAGCGGACCTCCAAGGGTAAGGGAAACCAGGGCTAATCCTGCAGCAGCCGGGGCTAACGTTAAAAACAGTTGTGTGCAAACCTCAGGTTTCCAGCCCCTCCTCCACAGTAGAGCCAGCTTTGGGGAAGCAAAGAAAACAGCAGCAGGTGCTTCAACACTGCACAAAAAAACGTTCATATGTCTGTCATAAATGTGAAAAGGTGGTATGCAGGAAATGAGCGGGGGGAATAATCAATTTCTGTAAGTAAAAATGTTATTTCAAACTTTGAACCTGTTAAGTTTCTATTTTTAATAGAAAATTTAGACTACAAATAATAGTAATATATAATGCAGCCTTAAAAAATATATAAATTAGACCTGTTGTAAGGTCTACAATGGGTTTATATAGCACATTAGAACCGTTTCAGTCAAAGACATCATTCTGCTTCATTCTATCTCTATTCTCCCACTCTGCAGAATCTGTTAGTTCAATCTCTAATGTTCTGCTCTCTCTGCTTTTTCTCATAGTAGCTTCTCCTCGTCTGTTCCTGTTTGGCTCTGACACCATCCTGGA